TGGTAGTACCACTTGTTGCACTGTAAGTATTCCATCAGGACTCTCCCACTTCCGATACAATAGACCATTGGAAATATACAGAGATTCTCATTGAGCCCAGTACGCCTTTATAGTTCCACTGTATTAGTTTATTTTCTGTCAAATAGGTCGTACTCCATTATTAAGCTATTCTCGTAAAACTTTTGAGTCATTATCTTTTTTTTTTGACTCTTTTTAAAGGTTTTCAGGAAAGTCTGATCATTATCTTCTTTCTTTTTCCCTGTGATTACCTGAAGACTTACTTCTTCAGTTATGATCTCTTTATCTTCAAGTCTTTTACAATACTGGCATTGTCGTTCCAAACAGGGTCGCCTAGAAATGATATCTGCGTTGTTATAGAGACGCCCTTTTCGAACTGCTATGCTATTATGATATGCTGTTATGCTGTTAAAGTCTCTCTCTCTCCATTGAGCAGCTTGTCCTTCTGGCTTTTTAAACTTCGTTAGCCACTACAACGAACTATAGTTAGTTCTAATTATAAAATTGCTGTTATAAAGGAAAGTCTGAAAATGTTATAGGGCTTTCATAATAGCTAGCAGCTCTTTTCTAGTAACGCCTCATTGTTTTAGTAAAATATGCAATAATTTTTTCGTCGCCCTTTCATTCTTGTAATAATACAACGCTAATACCATGCTAAGAGGCGTCACAATCCAACAAAAATTCGCCATCTTTTCGTGGATAGTCTAGGAAAGGTGCTGTTGTAACTTTTTTTTAATCTGTGAAGGCATATTAATAATTTGGTGTCCAGTCAAATTCAATGTTGTTTTAGGTTAGTCGATGAAGGGGCTTAGTAATGCAGCCAAAATCTTTAGTAAATTATCGGTAATATGAACAGAGCCCAACAATACTTCCAATTTCTTTTTTATTCTCTGGTTCAGGCCAATCATTAATAACTGAAATCTTCTCTGGATCGATTTTAATTTCTTCTGTTGAAACGATATATCCTAAATAGTACGTCTCTCTTCGAAATAGTGAACATTTCTTATAATTTAGCCTTAAGTTAGCATTTCTCAATATGTCAATTACCTTGCTTAAGTTTTTCAGATGTTCATCAAACGGTTTGGACACAATCATTATATCATTAAGTTATACTAGACATTTTCCAAGTAAGTCCTCTTAAAACCATCTCCATTGGATGTTGAGACGTAGCTGGAGCATTACAAAGACCAAATGGTACAACCTGGCACCTGTAGAGACTACGGCCAGTTGAAAAAGCTGTTATGTGTCGACCATCAGGATGAACTTTTACTGACCAGTAGCCGCTTTTTTAATATACGGTCGGTTAAAAACCATTTAGCACCCGATAAATTGTTTTGTGTATCACCTATTCGAGGCAACTATCTTTTTGTGTAACCTGGTTTAATCTTCTGTAGTCTACACAAAAGCGAGTTGATCTATCTTTCTTCGTTACTAAGAAGGTGGTGAACACCTTCGATATTATCGGCATTTATAATGTTTTGTATTACGTTTTTATTTCGAGTATTTTGTTAAAGATTTTGCACTATGTTTAAAATTTGGGATAAGATAGGTTGTTGGTTATCTGCAGTTGTGATTTCTTCTTCTTCTTCAAGTGCCCTGTCCGTTCCGAACGTTGGCTATTAACATAGCAAGTCTGATCTTGTTTGCGGCGCTTCTAAATAGTTCGACCAATGTGAGCCCGAACCACTTCCGCAGATTTTGGAGTGTCTTCTCCTGCCTGACCCACGCTTACTGTCTCTTTTCCCCTGGACAATCAATTGCAGCAGACGGTACTTATCGTGTCTTAATATGTGGCCTAGATATTCAAGCTTTCTTTGTTGAATTGTTATTTCTTAATTTTCTTAAAATCTTATTTTTCTTGATTTTGGGCTATATCTTAAAATGCTTATTGCCTGTTCATCCTACTGGGCTGAGATTAGTGCTAATTTGCCTTTGTGTGATGTTGTAATCAAATATCTTGTTGCTTTTCAACATCCTGTAGTCCATCTATGAATGCCTTATTCCAATTTGTTCAAGAAAATTTTTAGGTACCTGAGGGTACGCCAAATGCAATAGTCTTTTAATATCGGCTTTAAATTCTTGCAGTCTTCATAATGTTTTTGATATAGAACTTTTAGCTGATTACATAAAACCTGCATTAAATGATGCTGGTCATAATAATATATTATCTCTAAAGCTTGAACAAGAGAGTTATAACTAGGTGCATCCTGGGAAAGAAAATGCAAGACGGTGGCTGCCTGTTTTTGAAGAGATACTAACAAGGAAGCTGCAATTTATTTTTAGTCCAGCCATTTGCACTAGCTGCAGTTTGGAATTGAATATGATAAGTTTTCCAAGATGTTTGGCCATCGAATGTGGATGGTTTTAAAATTTTGCTAATTCTAATTGTTAATTGATATGAGGTTGAATGCTCGAATAAATGAACTTTGAAAATTAAGGCAATTATGTCGAGCACAAGTTTAATCAAATCTTGTCCAAGTACTTTCGCGTAATATAGCATATTCAGGGGCATTTCATCAAATATGGGCTATCAAGGGTAAACGTAGAATGTGATAAACATAGATGTTAACATAAAATTGTACAAACACTACACTAGAACAAGGACAAACAGTTTAAAAATTTTTAAAATAGTTCTACGCTACATTCTTTGACGGTAACAGGAAAGAGAGAAATTTTAATTAATGTTAAACTGTTTGTCCTTGTTCTAGTGTAGTGTTTGTACAATGTTATGTTAACATCCATGTTTATCACATTCTACGTTTGCTGGATAGACCATATTTGACGAAATGCCACTGAAGATGCTATATTAAGCGAAAGTACTTGGGCAAGATTTGTTTAATCTTGTGCACGATATAATTGCCATAATTCTAATTGTGTCTGATTGAACTATATTAGTTGAGAAAGCTGTTTGTTATGATTCGACATTAGTTACTGAAACAACATTAGATAAAGAAACTTGGTTATTAATTGTTCTTTCTAACTTAGCTAGTTTCCTTTCTAAATTTCGGTACAACATGGTACAACATCAAATCGGTTTGATGTTGTACCATTTTATTTTCTAATTCGTTTTGTTGTTGTATATTTTATTTTCTAAATTGTTTTGTTGCTGTAATATTTTATTTTCTAAATCATTTTGTTGTTCTTTTAATTTGTCCACACTACTAGAAATTTGATTTATCTTTAACTAAAAATTTTCGTGAATTTGAAATAAACCATTCATGAGTTCTACCTCTACTTTTCTACGCCCTCTTTCTCTTCTGGTCTTCCTCTTGTCCTTTACCTTCCTGAGCTTCTCCTTTTCCACTTTCTCTTTTTTAACTACGTTTTTCTTCCTCTTCTTGTCTACCCTTCTCCGTTAGCTCGTCTTCTCCTTTTATTTTTAAAAACTATGAGGAGGTCCGGACATATCTCCTTTTTTATTAAAATCATTAGATCTTTTATTTATCATCAACAACTGCGATAGAGTTCTTAATCCCACCGGTGTCGCCAATAATTTTTAAAAATAACTTATTTTTTTTTCTGTTTCGTTAAGGGACTTTTCTATGTGGGATAAATCTTATGGAAATGACGTTCAATATTATTCGCTCGATGCGTAACTATGGTAGGGGTACCTTGAAACGATGCCAGCGTGCGTAGCGGCGAAATATGATAAAATTGGACTTATTTTTTTACGCAAAAATTTTATCAAAAATGGGTGCAAATAAATATTGCGTATTTAATTATGTGCTATGTGCATGTGCTGATAATAGCAAAAATAGTAAGTGTAGTTTTTATAGGTTACCAAAGAATACATATAAATTAGAGAAAAAAGAAAAAAATGGATGCGTGCTTTTATTATGAAAAAGTAAATATCAGATGATTTCATTTTTATGCAATTGAAATAGAAAACATTTAAATAATTGACCTAAAATCATAATTCATAAGGCTTCAAGCTAACTGCAGCCTGCCTGATGACTTTAACTTTTATATCATAACTGGAACTATTATTGTTTTTAATTACGTGCCCTTCCACATGAAAAACTTGATTAGTCAGTACTAGATTTTCCCCTTTCTTTTTCATTTCTGGTTGAAAAGATAAATTATGATAATTGTTAGAAACCCAGTTTTTTATACTATATTTATTTTAAATGAAATGAGGTTGAATGCTCGAATACTCGAATTGAATGCTCGAATTTTGTACATAAACTGAAAAAATATAATTAAAAACTAATTATAGAGCAGTGGCTATACCGTACTGAGGAGACCTAAAGAGGTCCAAATACGTATAAGCGTCTTGTCGCTGCTCTGTATCGGATCAAAATCTAGTACACTCATTATGTTTTATTTCTTTACTCCGTTTGGAGTACCAGAAATTTAATTCACTTCGAATTTTGGCCATGATGAACGGCATTTGGAATGAAATCTTAGATTCCCTTGCCGAATTATTCATCAAGCTGTTTGCTTTGTAATTTTTAGAAAGCACGGTGGCTGAGATTTGAATTCAATTTCGCCAGGTAGAAATCGTATGATTTCTCTTTTTGTTAAAAAAATTATTATTAATTGTCAACTTCGTATGTATTTAACATATGTTTGCCCTAAAATTGGGGGGTCCAAAACTGTCAGATGAATGAGGTAGGTGTCGCGTCAGTCACGCACGGAGAAATAATAAAATTCTTTAGACTGCTTGTCAATTTACAAGAATACTATCGTTATTACAATCATAGGTCTACTCATTGCATTTCCTTTAACAATTTAATATACAGAAACGGTTGAAAATATGTTTAGTATATATTCTCAAAGTAAGTATAATATTTCAAAACAATGTATAATGATATTATTTCATAATAAACAATGTTTTAATAAACCAACTGTGGTTTTATTGTAAATAAGAGAGTCAGAAATAAGAAAAAGCGCCAAAGTTTCCAATTTTATAACACAACAAACTTCCATCGTAATGTTCCACGCAATCAAAATGTAAAAGTTGCAAATAAAAAAAACTTTACCTATTTCAATAGACTCTGTTGGCGACGCAGAATTCTTCCGTAAAACGTTTAAATCTCCATCTGCATCGACCGACATCAAACCAGGCCACCGCTGAGGCAGGACGAAATTGAATTTTGAAACAACATCTGCAAATAAAAATATACCGGATCAGTATAAATGTGAAAACGGTATCAAATAGCTTATTGAAAAGTATTAGCAAATGGAATCTGAGAATTTTGGAATGATTTTTCCAATCTTTTAGCAAAGGGATTTTCAGCAAAAATAGTCCTAAAATACGACGAGAGATTATATTTATTTAAACTTCTTTTGACAAATTCTTTTACTTGTCATTAAAATACTGAAATTAGTAATATTGTTCTCGAATACCAAGAATCAACTAGTATTCGATTCCTTAAAGTTCTCGATATATCTCGAAAATTTAAACCGAAGTATTCGACTACTCAAATCTTATGGACATGCTGATTAGAAATAAGAAAACCGACACCAGCTAATGATTCTTCCTCAGTTCCTTTGTAGTATAGTACATTCCCGGATTCCAACTTCATACAGGCTTCCCCTTTTCTTTTAATCTCATTTAATCCTAATATTTCCCATTTCATCTTTTTTACTTCTTCTTCCAGTTCGGCTAGCTTTTCGTCCCTCATCAGTGATCTGACATTATAAGTCGCAATATCCAGTTTCGTTGCTTGTTTTCGTTGTTTCTGGCAATCTTCTAAAACCCAGGGATTCTTAGCAGCCTCTGCTCTTTCCTCGATCCTACCATTGCCGTGGAAGGTGACTCCGGAGCTGCTGGGGACTGAGGGCCAATTCTTACGTGTATCTATCATAAGGGGGGGATAGATTGGCCGTGAACTTACCACGATGGCCAGACGGTTTGGTAAGTGTGTTTCAACCGCCCACTCTGGGAACAGACGCTGTTTGCAGCCGCCCACTCTGGGTCAGACGCTGCTGTTGTCGCAGTATCACAGCCGCTTAACTCATATTGTGAGTAACGCCTGTGAGTATCTGGAATTAAGCCTACAAAATTTTTACTTCCCATAGCCTTAATCCAGTAATGACATTACTGCTGCCTAATGTCATATCCTTAGTTGATCCGCGGGTACTTATTTGGCAATGCCTTATTCGTACCTGTACTGCATATCTGCAGGAACTTTCCGTATCAACAATATGGGACGTGCCGTGTCGAGGTTGAGGAGATCCCCCGCCCAGTCTGTCTTCCGTGAAGTACAGAACCCCTACTCAGTTCAGAGCTCCTCCTCCACGAAAGCTATAACCGACACGGTCGGTCATAGCTTTCGTGGAGATTAGACAATATATTGGAATTTCAGAAAGGATCGCGACTCTAATAATGGACATAAATAAAAATATAAGTTTAAAGATCATACAAATTTACGCCCCTACATCATCACATACGGATGAAGAAGTGGATTTATTCTACGAATCATTGACATAAACAGTGAACAAATACAAAAGCACCTACACAATCATTATAGGCGACTTCAATGCCAAATTAGGGAGAAAACTAGAAGAATCAGAAAATAAAATCGGCAACTTTGGATATGGAACACGAAACGAAAAAGAAGAGAAACATTGATGAACTATATGGAAACGAACGGTCTATATACGATGAATACCTTTTTCAATAAAAAACCACAGAGAAAATGGACGTGGGTCGCGCCCAATGGTTTAACAAAAAATGAGATTGATTACATCATATCCAAAGAAAAGAACATAGTACAAGGCGTTACAGTCATAAACATGATTTCCGTAGGAAGTGATCACAGAATTGTTAGAGCCAAAATCAAAATTAACTCCACAACAGACAGACAAAAATTTAAACCATCTAAAAAAGAGATTGATACAGAACTTCTTAAAGAACGCAAAGAACAATACATAAACCAGCTAAAAAGAAGTGACATATCACAGCTAAAGGGTTTGCAACTAGACGAATTAAACGATAAAATAAAAACAGAGCTACTAGAAGCAGGCCTGAATATTGCCAATAAACAAAAGCGAAAACAACAAAAAATTAGCGCTAAATCACAAGATATGCTAAAAAACGACGACAACTACAGAATAATAACAAAAGAAATACAGTGGAGTTTACTTAACTGAACAAAACCATAAGAAAACAGATAAAGGAAGATTTAAAGAAATACCAAGAGGACCGCATTAAGAAAATCATAGAGAAAAACAAAAGTTTAAAAACAATGAAGAAAAATACAGGAAAAAGAAAATTAATCATGCTTAAAGCTGAGAACAATGAAGAAAGAGATCTAGGAGAATTAGTAAAAATCACAGAAAGATATTACACAGACCTATATAGTTCTAAAAATGACCCACCTCTATCATCTATACAAAATCTCTCGAGGAAAATACAAAATATTGGCTCAGAGGTATTACCAGAAATAACTGAAGATGAAATCGAAAAATCCATAAACGACATGAAAAGAAATAAAGCGGACGGTGAGGACAAAATACTGGCGGAACTGCTAAAAGAAGGAGGAGACACGATAAAAAAAATGCTAAAAATACTGTTCAACACATGTCTGTTTGAAGTTAAAATACCTAAACAATGGAGAAATACCAACACAATCTTAATACATAAGAAAGGAGACCGAACAGACCTAAATAACTACCGTCCTATTTCCCTTTTGTCACAACTATATAAAACCTTCACAAGAATAATAAACAACCGACTAACTTATAAACTTGATAACTACCAACCAGTGGAACAGGCCGGATTCAGGAAAGGATACAGCACAATTCTAAAAAATCAAACAATCCCTCTATACTTACGAAGCAAGGTATATAATTCCTGTATAATACCGGTGCTCACCTACGGAGCACAGACATGGACATTTACACAGGCCAATTTGAATAGGATAAGAAAGGCACCAAGAGCGATGGAGAGACAAATGTTGGGTGTATCACTTAGAGATAGAAAACGTAACCAGTGGATCAGAACCAGAACAAAGACAGTAGACGGGATAGAACAAGCAGCAAAACTGAAATGGAAATGGGCTAAACACAATGAACGTCTCCAAGACGGACGATGGAACAATGCCATCGGAAAGTGGCGTCCATACAATGCAAAGAGATCAAGAGGCAGACCACAGATGAGGTGGAAAGATGACAACAATAAACAAGGAGGTTCCACATGGCAGAGAACAGCTCAAGATAGGAAAAGATGGAGAGAACTGGGGGAGACCTATATCCAACTATGGAAGGATAGAGAATAGGTTCAAAAAAAATTCGACTACTACCTGAGGAAGCGGTCGCTATTTTATTACGGTACTCAGTACTCGGTTGTCAACTAGTTAGTCAAATAGTGGATGCCATACATAAAGTAATGACAATTTCGGAAAGAATCAAAACCAAATAAATGTAAAATATACATATATCGGTATCGGTTCACGAGATAGTTTTCGACGCTTAGAAGTCTTCGAGTACCGAGTTCTCGATTCTTAAAAAAATTCAATTCAAACCAACGAAGATGGATGTTTAGGAGACCGGTAAAAAACTCTGATAAAGACATCTCCAAAGGATTACAGAAACAGATCATGAAATCCCCCAAGATAAACTCGAAAAAAAAAACAAAGAGACTAGGTAGGGCAGCACGAAAGTAGTTCTTTCAATAAAAAAGCTCCCACTTACAAAGCTACAATTAGTAGAATCAAAGTAGAAGAATCGATCACGAGTAATGCTAATAGATAATGATAATCGTAGAATACAGTAGGAAACCTTAACTGGAATGACTCGAAAAATCTGTCGAATTCGGATCACGGACACCTTGACTTTACCTTATATACAGGTAAACTACTCCTAATTAGATACAGAGATCAGAAATGCACAAATTGGAAATGATATCGAACCGATTTGGAAACAAAAATTTGTACATATTATAGTATACATATTAAGTACATTTAATATTATTAAAATATGTTTAGATATTAAATGAATAGGTGAATGATCAAATCAGGTAAGAAATTTTGACATCATACCAGGAAACTGCCCAATCAAATCTATGAAGAATTGCAAGAAAATTGGAAGTTATCGTTCTATCTCAACAATTTCAACAATATATATATATAATATATATATATATATATATATATATATATATACATATATATATATATATATATATATATATATACATATATATATATATATATATATATATATATATATATATATATATATATATATATATAATAAGGATCACTCAGACGAGTGGTGGGTTCAAATATCGGTCTACTAGGTGGAGAAATAAAAGACAAAGTTGATACTACTTCATCTATTTTGAAGTATAGTAGCATAGTATCATAGCATAGTATAGTTTGAAGCATAGTATCAACTTTGTCTTTTATTTCTCCACCTAGTAGACGGATATTTGAACCCACCACTCGTCTGAGTGATCATTATTATATATTGGATAGACGGTCGTACTCCTTTTTGCGATATATATATATATATATATATATATATATATATATATATATATATATATCTCAGATTTATTGCTCATTTGTTTTTTTAGTACTGCACGTACAGTACACTTCAGTTATATATCTTCTTGTGTATTTTATGTATATATATATATATATATATATATACATAAAATACACAAGAAGATATATAAGAAGATATATATATATATTTATATATATATATATATATATGTATATATATATATATATATATATACATAAAATACACAAGAAGATATATATATATATATAATATATATATATATATATATATATATGTATATATATATATATATATATAATATATATATATATGTATATATATATATATATATATATATATATATACATAAAATACACAAGAAGATATATAACTGAAGTGTACTGTACGTGCAGTACTAAAAAACCAAATGAGCAATAAATCTGAGATATTCCTCGTTAATTAATACTAATTGCAATCCATATCTAAATCTTGCTCATCCTCTAAATCATCTCCTATATTAATTATCACCAGTTCAATATCTTCCTGCAAATTGTCTAAGTAAATTTTTTATTTTATTTGCTTGCCGTGTTTCACATAATTTGTTTCTTTTATGAGCGGTCCCACCATTTTTTCTTTAAAATCCACGTTG